CTTGCTTGCTTGCTTGCTTGCTTGCTTGCTTGCTTGCTTGCTTGCTTGCACGTGCGTGCGTGCGTGCATGCGGGTGTGTGTGTGTATGGGCCTGCTTGTATAGAGGTCAGGGGACAACTTTCCAGAGTTGGTTCTCTCCTTTCCTCATGTAGGTTCTGGGGTCAAAGTCAGATCATCAGGCCTGGCAGATGCCCTTTATCTGCTAAGACATCCTTCCAAATACCCTTTTTTTTTTCTTTTTGAGACAAGGTCTCATGCAGTTCAAGATGGACAATAACTAGCTATGTAGACCAGGCTAGCCTTGGATTTGTAATCCTCTTGCCTCAGTCTACTAAGTGCTTGCTTTGTAGGAGTGTGTACTCACATGGGCTGTATCCAAAGTTTGACCAGTGGGAATTCGCATTACATGTCAAACTCATCAAACTTTAAGTATTAAAGATGTCATTTCCTGAGGATGTAGTTCTCATTCTAGAGGGCATCTGTACACACTCAGACAGATGGGTTTCCAAGTGAGCCCTGTGTCTCAAGTTGGAAATTAGCATGAATAATGACACTGCTTTTGCTAATGGCCTCTTCCGAGTAATACAAATGGAATACTGATGTCACAGGCATGTGGCAGGTGGTCCTGTGACTTCAAGAGTCTAGAAACCATGTGACAAAACTCAGGAGGCAACAGCATCCATTCTTAACCTGTAGCTATGGTTCCCCGGTGCAACGGCATCTTTAACAGCTGCTCTGCAACGGAATAACTCTCTAAACGGTCATATAACAGGCTTGCTTATATTTTTTGGTTGTGAGGCTAGCCTTTAATGGCCAAGCCATTTCTCCAGCCCATGACTGGCTTTCTTGAACTTTATACTTGCCTCGGGGAAGCACAGGGACTTGTGTTGTCTTGGGCACACAGGAGCCTGAAGCAGAAGGGCAGAAGGACATAATCTCAGTTCTGGCCTTAAAATTATAGGTCTTTGCTTGTGCCAGCTTAAGCATGGAATTCAAGTATCTATCTTGATTACTGAATTTCTTAGTGTGCCTGTGCATTTTGTCCCCAGGGCAAAGTCCAGGCTCTTCATCTTACACCGGGGGTGGTTATTTTTACAAGCAGGGCGGTTTTGTGGAAGAGTTCTCAGGGAAGAATAGAAGACTGAGATGTCGTTAAGTCCATTATGCTTGAAGGAAACGTAATCAGGGTTTTCAAGAGATGCCATCAGGATGTTGTTGAGTGTGATAATGATGTTTCAGGCACTTTTCTATTCAATATGATGCTGTGTTGTCAATATGTGTGCTCCTGACTGTGGCTTAGAAGTGGTCAGACCTATATCAATATTCTTTATTAGCTCAAAGTATGGGGTGGATAAATAAACCCAGTGCCAATTGTTTCCTAGAAGTTGATGTGATCTGTTCAACCAATGGACATCTACCATGAAGCAATCATTCATGGTTTTGTAAGTAGGCTGCATACAGTTCACCCAGTTAAGCGTATGTGCTGAGTCATTGGCCACCGTCCTATATGCCACTACAGCTCTTCCATGTGATGGAACTCCATGGCCAACAGTTCTCTGGTGCTTGGCCACATGCACAGTTGCAGCTCATCATCTTCTGTCCCCTTCAAACACCTCCACCTCCCTACCCCTTGGCACCTCCCCCTCAGCCCAGGTCCATGCCAGGAGTGAAACTGCACGGTCGGAGGCATTGGGATTTGATGCTCTGTGAGTCTTCTTAGATCAGTGAGAGACGGATGTGCTGGGTGGCAACTCCCGTGTCTCCCTTGCCCTGCTTCCTCCCTCACAGCCTGCACAGCTCTTGCAGGTGACCTGCACTTCACCAGGGCTAGCTTGAGGGAGCACCCTAATGGTGGATGCCTCTGTCTACTGCCTCTCATCCATTCATGCACTCCAGGCATCACCCTGGCTAAAAGATAGAGCACGAACAATGTTTGCCTCAGGCTCTGCATTCTGGGAAATGCAGACTAAGACACACACACACATACACACACACACACACACACACACACACACACCACATACCATTGAGCTATTTCTGATTTCCTAGAAAAGGGAATATCAAGCCAGGGCAGGGTTTATCTGTTCATTGTTTCCTTTAGCACTTGATGCAATTATAATAGATTATATTTTTAATGTTCAGTGGGTAACATAGTATCAGGATGATGATGTCATAGTTGGAGCTGGTGGAGGATGGAGAGAAGAGCTAGCTCTTCACTTGCCTTGGGGTTAGGAATGAAAAGGCAGTCTCTTTCCCAAGGGTAGGGACTTCTATCAATTCATTAAAAATAAAATTTTCCCTCATTCTCCTTTAGAGAATGACATCTGTCTGTTCATCTATTCACCTACCTGCCCATCCACTTATCTATAATTCATCCACCAACATCTGGCTGTCTATTAATCATCCATTGACCTACCCACCCACTGATCCACCTATTGATCCATCCATCCATTTATTGACCAATCCACCATTGATCCATCCACAAATTCACCTATCTACCCATATACCCATCCATCTATTGATATACCTATTAAATGATCCATCCATCCATCAATCATCCATAAATCCTTCCACCTATCCATCCACTAACACCTCCATTAATCTACCTATTTATTGATTCATCCATTTATTCATTGATCCATCAATCCATTCTTCCAGCCCCATACTCATTTATCTCAGCATGGTTTAACTCTGGTTCTATATATGAACTTAAAAAAAAATCTCACTACCTTCCAAAATTCAGTCCTTTATTATTGGTCTGACTACTTCTTCCTATAATCCAAGTGTTCTTGATACTTGATACCCATGGGTGCCAATGAGGTCACATGAGCCATGAATTCCCTTCTCTGGTTTCCCTAGCTGTGGTGGTGTGGCAGGAGACGTGTGACACATAGTGGGAAGGGACCCTCCTGCATGGTGACAATGAGCAGGACCTGAGTGCCTAGCCTTTGGGTTTTATAATTCTGGCTCAGCACTTGTCAGCTTTGTGGCCCTGTGCAAAGCTCTGCTGTGTGTCTTAGTATACAGTGGGTAAACTGAGGCTGCTGAAGCTGATGGGGACACTTACCTCAGTAAAGACACTGACAGAATTCACAGAGTCGGTGGTGTCAGACAGTCCCAGGGCCTGGCCTGGCCCCTCTGCTCCTTAGTCCAGGGACACTTGTCACCCCATGTAGTGGGACAGTAAAGTAAACATGCCTGAGGAGCATACTCTGGGTATCCAGAAGCTTCTGGGAACCCTCTGCGGCACTCAGTCTTCCTTTGAAAATGTCACTGGGTCTTTGAAAACAAGAAGCCTTCACTGATGCACTTTTTTTTCTGTTGGCTTCATTTTCTGATCTGAGACAGCATCTCCCACGACACTATCACCTCCATTTTGTTCCCATCATACAAGAGCTGGCATAAAAGCCCCGTCTTAGAAATCCTGAAAGAATGGCTCTTTTTCTCTCCTGTGCACATCTCATTCAGTCTTTCTCTGGCTTCTAAAATGTGATCTTTTATGGAACTGGGTGGCATTTGTGGCTTCTGTGAAAGGTATTGGTATTTAAGGCATTTAAAGATGACAGGGCCGGGCCTGCACACTCTTTACACCTGCATCCCATTTAATTTGTCTTTATTCTGCCCCGAAAATCTCACCTTTCATTCTGCACAATTTCCCTTTTTATCTTTATCAATCTATGAATTATTCAAGGAAAGGCTTAGACGGTGGGCTTGCTCATACCCACGGTGGCAGCTGCATCCCTGATTTGGGTGGTTCAGTTTCCTTCAGGAGCCACACATCTTACCAGCTTTGTATAACAGAGGACAAGAGGTGGCATCAAATTAAGAACAAGACAAAGAAACGGCCATTGGTACCTGTACATTTGCTCATTAAGCTGGCTATGTTACAGCCTCCTCCAGGTAGGGGATGAATGCTATGGCAGGGACAATCGATGTCTGGCTGGGGTCGAACACTGGCAAGTCTATCACCCAAAGGTTCCAAATCAAATATGAAGAAGGGGCCTATTTTCTGTGAACTTTCTTGTCATCTCGCCTTTCCTTCCTGTTCCTTCCAGAGAGGTGCTTGTCTCACTGGGTGGAGCACAGCATCTCTGACCAGGTGGATGTTTGCTTTCAACTTAACAAACACGTGGGCTGAGGGTGTTGGTAACATACTGGGAAGGTACCCTTTGGTGATCTCGGGTAATCATTTCCCCAGGGTAGCAAGCATTTGCAGGACATTCAACTCTACTGATAACCCACATTTATCATTGACTATTTGTTTATACTCTATAGCACCTGGATGATCCAGGTTCATGAGTTACCATTGACTAATGACCCCAAAATTCCTTATGACAACATTGAACACTGAAGGGAACTGATTCCTCTCTTAGGAGATTGTTTGTAGGATAGTCTAGGACCCATGTGTGAACTCTGAGGCATCGTTACTTCTTAGGGGTCCGTTATGGTGGCTTGAACCTTCTGGTGGCTGTCTGTCTTTCCAAGACCCCTTTACTGTGGTTATGTCACTGTGGTGATTCCCACAGGGCACCATTGGCTCCATGCTTCCTACTGGCCCCATTTTCTTCTTCTGGAAATTAGAGTCATTGCAACCCCTCCTTGTCTTCTCAAACTGATGCTTCCTGACAATTGTCAGACACTTGGATTGACAAGGTACATCTTCCTCCATGGGTCAGAATAACTGCACAGGCCATGATAAGCTTTGAGGGTACATGCTTTCTGTTTATGTGTGCGTTTTGTTTCACATATAACTTGAGGACTCTCAGGGAATCTCCCAGACTGATGCAAATCCAACCTTAAAAGTTATTTCTTCATACTGTGTTTATTTAGGGATGACTAAAATTCACCATATACCTGAACAAAAATGTCAGGAATAAAAAAAGATATTAAAAATAGCTTGTGATGTTTTTCATACCTCTTGCCAAACTGGACAAATGGAAACACCCAGGACAGGCATAGACAATGATGTATAAAGTGGATCAGCAGTGGGGAGGAAATGATCAACATAAGAGTCCCTACAATTCTACGGGACCTCCTGTAGTAGTTCAGTACTTATCCCTAGCATAGGTGTGGACTTTGGGAGCCCAATCCACATACAGGGACACTCCCTGAGCCAAGACACACAGGGGTGGGCCTAGGCCCTATCCCAAAGGATATGATAGACTCTGATGACCCCCTATGGAAGGCCTCACCCTCCCTGGGGAGCAGAAAGGATATGTGGTAGGTAGGGTTTTAGTTGGGGGGAGGTGGTAGGGGAGGACGGGAGGGAGTGGGAACTGGGATTGACATCTTGTTTCTAATTCAAATAAAAAAATTAAGTGTAAAAAAAAAGTCCCTACAATTAATGTAAGAGTCCCTTGTGCCTGGTGTGAGAACAGAGTAGTGTAAGGCCATCCTCGGCAGCCCTGGGGTTGGCAAGCAGCCTTGGCTACGTTTCTTCTATTTGGATGAGGTTATGCTCAATCAACAACCCTCACCATTTCACTTCTCATGAAGCTTCTGAGTTGTATTTGGCCAGCAGTGGGCAGCGAAACAGGAGGCAGTAGGCAGCTTCAGCAGGCCCTGGCTGGGAGTCACTGTTTCACGGTCTTGCCATCACTGTGCTTTGACCTGCTAAGTTATAGTAACTCCGAACTTACTGTGATACAAGAGATATTTGCATTAGCAGAAAAGACAAAAGTAGTCCTAAATGCATCTGATCATTCCTTTTCCTTTTCTTAAAATTTTTTTTTCAGAGACAAGGTGCTGGAGCGACCAATGGAAAAGACAAGACATCGGGAGATAATGGTAAGATGGCTGGAAAGGCCCTGCTGCCCACCCACCCTTATCCACACACTCTCTCTGGGCATGCATAACTCTGACCCATGCCTTCCACCCAAATCAGCTTGCTATTTGTGCCCGTGCTTCAGTTTAGAGTGGCTTTTAGCAACTCACAGCGAGAGAGATCCGTGGTCTGGCTTTACAAAGAAAAGCTGCACAAGCTAAATGTGATGCTGAGAGCAGTTTCCCTCCCAAAGAGGACTCCCATTTTGGGCAACATGTTAATTATGATGCAAATATAGTCTCTGCTTTCTCCATTAGGGTTGGTGAGAATCCACCCGAGTTGTTGTGAGGCTAAAATGAGATAAGTGCTTTAAAAACTGTGAAATGCTCAGTTCCTGGAAGGAGGGCTAGGAAGACGGGTTCTGCCCTTGGGAGTACTCAGAAACCAGTGCTGGTCTCAGGGGTGGTGCTGAGGCAGGAGTCTTGCTTTTACTGCAGAGAACTGCCCACAAATAAAACCATAGGGTGCTGGGAACACACACCTCCCTTCTCGCCAGGCTCCACTGGGAACAAACTTGGGTTGCAGGAGTGAGCTTCATATTTTTATGGAACTTAAGACTGGTTTAGAAGAGATGGATTTGGGGACAGAGGACACCGAGTAAGAGTGAACCTCCTTTACCCACAAAACCTGGAACTACACTAGCTTCTGGATGTTCTTAAATTTTATGGATTACAAAATGTGGTCTCCTTTTGTGGAAAACCCCTATTGCCTCCAGCTGGGTGGGACCGATGCCCATGTCCACCCACCAAAGTGTGGATAATAGATGAGGCTCAAGTAGAGAACTTCCGCTGTGCTGTGCTGGTCAGGGCCAGAGATGTTGAGGTGACAATGACCTTGGTTTTTACAGTCCAACTACTCCTAGAGTCACTAACTTGTTACTATAACTTCACTGTAATCTTAGGAATGCCAGAAGACCTCACAGACCGTTAGTGTGTATTGGCTTAACTAGAGAGAGTTCATTTTCTGGAAATGATGGTAGATCAAGTTTTACAAGTTTGCTTATTATGAAATAGGAATAAATACATGTTAACTCAAGGGATTTTCATTCATGAAAGCCTCCTGTTTTCAAAGCATCAAATATGTCTAGTGCAAAGAGTGGAGTTTTTTTTTGTTTTTTTTTGTTTTTTTTCAGCTCTTGCTAATGTCTGCTAACAGACATTTTCCTGTCTGCTTATGCATGTCTTTTGCAATGGCCCATGATGTACAGCTTTTGGAAAATTCCACCATTTACCTGGGAGAGAATGAGATTTTTAAGAAGGGAATAAAACCTTTTATGATCCAACTGCATCATTTATAATATCTTTTATGAGATCGTCCCTGGCCCACACTTTGAGGCTCCTTTTCCAGTATGAACCCTGGGTAGCTGAGTATCCTGGAGCCTGATGATGAGGCATGTTGATGGCTGAGTCGCCACCAGGTCTCCTGTGACCCCTGCTGCTGTACCCTGACTTTCTCCTGCCATGCCACTGATGCTTCGGGCATGTCTGCATGCCCTGGGATTTGCACCCACAGGTGTGATTGGCTCTTAAGGAGTATTCACCTTTCTGCTATTCAAGAACTGGAATTTCTGCCAGGCAGCTTTTAAAATATTTTTTATTATTTAATTTTTTAATTATTTAAAATAGTTTTTGAATTAAAAAGTTGGTTTTTATCAGTAGATGTGGAGTGAACCTCTTTTGGAGGTATAAAATTAATCAAATGGAAAAAGTCAAGACACTGTGAATAAGGCTTTTCATTATAGAAGCATAGATATTAAAAGAGATTTGCTTCTAAGTGGCAAAAAGGAGTTAGAGATTATTTGATAATTATAGGATAATGGCACTGGTTAAATCCATGGGTATTATAAACAAGATATGTGGTATACCTTACTTTGAGGAAAAACTGCTTGTATATAATGTATTTGTATAAGATACATTCTTATATTAGTAAGCCCTTTGGAGGATTTATCTCTAAAAATGAACAAAGACAAAGGCCAGCAATAGTTGAAAAAAGACTGCACTAAAATGTTCCAGAAGCAGAGTAGAACACATTTCCCCTAAAGAATCTAAGTTAACTAATTTCTTATTCTCAAATCTCTGGGTCTTCGAATTTCTGTTTTAGCTTAATATTAAATCACATTAAAATTCAACTTATTTTACTCTGTCAGAGCAATTATCAAGGGAAATCTATTATGTTAATATATGTTTTCTGCTAATATCGAATGAAGCTGCCTACACGAGTTAAAGGGGCAAGGACCGGTGAGAATAGACACATGAGACATGAAACACGGAAAGGCTGTGAGAGCTCCGTAGTGGTCCTTCATATTAAAATCAGGATTTCCCAGTTCTTAGTTTCTACAAGCCAACATGCTATTGTTCTAAATGTGGATTTAGCTAAAGCCTCTGTTTGGAATATGAAGTCATGACAATTCTGGGAGTGATCTGTGGGTCTTGGAACGGTTTGCATCACGAAACACGGGTGTCTCAAAGCATCAGAAGGGGATTGGCTTCTGGGTTCTGCTGACATGGTGTAATTGAGTCTACCCCTAGAGGGCTATTGGCTAGGGATAAGGTTTCCAGCAATTCTTCTAGCCGTCATCATAACATCCATTGACACAAAAATATGACTCCTATCCATTTCTTACTGTCCTGGACACTCTGCTGTGTTATCAGACCACTGCAGCCCAATGTCCCTGTGTTTGTACAGTCATTTAAAGTATGGTGGTAAATTTGGAATTTTAATTTAATGTTTATTTTATTTAATTTAGTGTTTATTTTTATTATTTTTAAGTGTGTGTGTGTGTGTGTGTGTGTGTGTGTGTGTGTGTGTTGGGAGCTGTGAACATGAGTGCAGGTACAGGCAGAGACAGAGGCAAGAGATTCCCCTGGAGTTGGAGTTACAGGTGTCTGGAACTCCCTGATGTAGATCCTAGGAATTTAACTCAGGTTATCTGGAAGAACAATAAGAGCTCTTAATCACCTTGACATCTTGCCTGCTCATGGTTCACAGTTTTTTTTTCAAATATTAGGATTATGATTTCTTTGGTGTGTGTATACGCTCCTGTGTGTGCAAGTGAAGTTTGTGCATGTGTGTGGAAGGTCTCCCCTCCTCCTCCTCCTCCTCCTCCTCCTCCTCCTCCTCCTTTTTGAGACAAAGAGTTTCTCACTGAACCTAGGGCTCACTGATTTTGCTAGGATAACTGACCAAAAGGTGTAGGAGATCTACCTGTTTCCATATCCCTAGAACTTTGTATACATGATTGCACCACCAAGCCTCAAAATTTCACATGGGGCCTGGGTATTGAACTGAGCCCCTCACACTTGTTCAGCAAGCACTTCTACCAATGTAGCCATCTCTTCAGGATGTGGGTAACCTAGAGATTTCCATAGCTCTGTGGACAGAGCTCCTGGGCTGTCTGCTGAATCAGGCCCTGGGAATCACTGCTCCTGATGTAATTTTCCACTACAGTGAAACAATAGTTCATGGCCCCAGCGATAGATCTTTGCCGTCTAGACAGCAAAATCAAATTCAAATGTGTTTATAAATACAGATGCCATCTGAATGTGCATAACTCATTACTAATCACCTGTTTGTTCTTGCAAAAATAATATCTCTTTCCTGGATGTTTGATGTGTAACCTGATATTGGTCACTCAGAGAGACTAGGCGAAATTTTTGTAATGGAAATGGAGAGATACGGAGAGAAGAGCACCTGCAGGGGACTTCCCATCGAAGGATAGATTTATGATCGATAACCCTTTTGGAAGGCTCTGCTGCTTGCCCAAGCTAAATTGAGTTTCTAAAACTGGGACAGAATTCTCCTGACTTCCTGAGCTACAATGATGAATTGTTTCTAAAGATTCTGCTCTGAGGGTGAAAGGCAAATAAACCCACCTGGTTCTAGGAAAGAGCAGCTCCCTGCTCTGAAGTGCAGTGTCATGTCACTACTTGGGGGTCACCCTGGAGTTGGGGTTTCTGTAATGAGAGGCTCGTAATCCAGAGGTGTGTTTCTTCTTTGGGGCTGATGCTGTCATGGAGAAGTTTCTAGTAGCTGTGAGGATATGCAGGGAGGTAGTCAGATTTCCCACAATTGCATGGTGGCTGACGATGAAGGAAGCCCTCTATTGCGTTAGGTTCTGTCCTCTACCTATTTTGAGTACAATCCAGATACTAGGGTCTCAAGTTTATTTTACCTTTACTTTTGAGAGAGTCCACCCACTGGTACATTTCTGCTATCACATAGTTGGGGAGAGTGGCTGGGGAATCACCTTAGTGTACGCACGTGCACCCGCGCGCGCGCGCGCACGCGCACACACACACACACACACACACACACACACACACACACACACACACACACACACACACACTACCATTAAACTGAGTATGAGAGCTAAAATAAGAAACAGTATCCAAATATGTATGCCTAGCAAACTTTGCCCTCTCCACACCTTAGTTTGAATGTCGCCCACTAGCCACCAGCAGTCTTTTCGTTGTTCTTGGTGCATGGCAGGTTATACTGATGTGGGCTGATTATGCCCAGCATCTGTTTAACCCATCACCGTTTGGTTTGCACAAGCACGTGGCAGGGGTGGGCCGGAGGTGACAGAGGAATCATTTCCATGCTCAGGAGGGAAGACCATTGTTGGAAGGCTACTGGATGTCTCTGACCCCAGACATCTCTAAAAGTAACAAGGCTACGCTCAACTTTTCTGAGGCATGGAGACAGAGAGGCACAAGCTTCCTGGGATGCAGCTGTGGTGTTAGGAGTGAGGGAGAAAGCATATCAGTGCATTTGCGAGGTGGGTGGAGGTTGGACCTCTATTTCCCACTGAGGATCTGACTCCACGCACCATCTCACCTCAGTGCTGAGATCTGAGCTTCTTCAAAAAGGAACAGTGACAACCTTAAGCACACCCCAGAAACACATTGCTTATAACCCAGATTGCACCTGGCTATGGAAAACAAAGTCATCAATTTCCAGA